AAAGAACCAAGAATATGAATCCCTGCAGCCACGAAAGCTTTAAATCAAAATTTACTACCTGTGAGATCTTTCGTTACCTGTGAGATATTTCACTACCTGTGAGATCTTCACTCAAAACTGCTCTAGAGGAGTTGTACACCCCTAGCTGCCACTGATATTCAGTGGCCTGAAATGAAATGTATCGCTCCGGATGACCGCTGCAAAATACGATCTTCAGTTTTCATTATAGTGTGCTGATCTTTAAAGGTGCATTGGGAAATTTGGATGCTCCTACTGATACTCCTGCTGCAATGGAGTGACTCGTGCTGCCAGCTATGGCTGCAAAGTTTGGTCGTACATGTTATGTGTATCGTTTATTGTTAAATTTGAATCACAGTATCCTATGATCACTGTTACATGGTTTTTATAGGGTTTTTTTGGTGATTTCGAAAACGTTTTGGTTTAGCCATATTTGTTTGTTGTCGTACAGAGTTAGACTGATAACTTTAATCTAAATTGTCTTACTGGGATTTTTGCACACAGCGTTGATGTACGGTGCTTTTTCTGGAAGACTTTGCTGTTTTTTTTCCTTAATTTTTCTGTTGCGCGTAGTCACTTTAAGATGTTCCTTGTTCATGTTTTTGTTTGTTGCGGTTGCACCCGATTCAAGAGCCGCATGGCTCACAGGGCTATACCTAATCAATGAAACTGAAAAAAACTGAAACAACCACGGGCTGCTGCTCGGCGAACGTAGCAAGCATCGCCACTTCACACGTGGATGTGTCCCACTTGGTGTCGCGTCTTGCACGATTCGGGAGTGTGCCGTCGAAACCCCACGCCCGGCTGGAATCACAAGGTGAAAAGCGCGCATCTCTCTATGCGAACACTCGTTATTCCTGTTGGTCGTTTTACACAGTATTACAAAAGACAAGTTCCAATCAGTTCCATGGAAACCCATTATCATGGCCCCAACGTGTCACGTAGCATTGAACGTTATACCGTAAACAATTATAAATCATTAACATATATACAAATTATTACTTGACATTACACCATATTTTAACATGTACACACACGTTCGGCTCACCCTGAAAACTTTCGCAAAGGAAAATAAAAACCTATAATCTTCAACTGTACCACGTGATAGAAGACAATGAAAATAATCTCTTTTCAAATCTGGCATGGATCGGCTGTGCGCATAATTCGTTAGCGGGCTAGACAACGTGAGTACCGCGCTGTGGAAAGTAAAGTGGTCGTGAAAAGGGCACAGTGGCACCCGTCATGGGAATGTGGAGTTTCCAGTGCACCAACGATGAGGGAGCACCACCAGTGCCAGATTAAGCTCGTGTGGGGCCTGTAGCATATGTTATAAAGGGGCCCTAAATAAAAAAAAACACATAAATATTAAAACACAAATTTGTAACTTGCACAGTAAAGTCATTGTATTTTTTTCATTTGCTACACAGCCAGATAATACGACAAATCGCTAACCTTAAACACCCAATCGTTTGTAAAAGTTAAAGGCGGTATAGTACTATAGTAATAGAGCAAGTGTAGAGTCACTGAACCGGAATTGATAGCTTGAAAGCATTTAGCGTGGGGCACCTTGAAAGTGCGGAGCCCGTAGCTACTACTACATATGTAGCTACTACATATGTAGCTACTTGTGCTACTGGGATAATCCGGCACTGGATGCAGCCACATCGCAAGGCACGGTACAACCCGCGCGGCAAGCGCGTCGAAATAATTTAAAAAGCAAAACAAATTCGTGGTTTCTTATTTTTTGCTTGCCTGGGACGGAATGCACAAGTACAATCCACTGATGGATGAGGATCTCCCCATACCGTTGGGCAATTATTTTCTTCTTATCATACTTCACCACCACGCCAGTCAGAGTGGCTCGGTGACAACGGAGTGAATATTGGGTAGAATAACAGGGCAGTGTCGGACATCGCACGCCAATTACAGCAGTGCTGGGGATGAAGACACTTCGTAGAGAGAGGCAGTGAGTCACAGGGAGAGAGAAGCGGAAATCCTTGCGCCTGGACTTGAACAAGCGGACATAATCTGCGGTGCGTTTGCCGTGTGAATATGTAATTGAGTTCCCATTGTGAGCCATCTCTACTGATGTGCTCCTGCGCTCCTGAATACGTGGCAGTGTTAGAGGAATGAAAATGGCGAGATACTTTCCGGTTGGTGCTCATCACATCACGGTATTTTACACCGACGTGCGCAGGACGCAACGGCGAGCGTTGTCTCGGACGAGGGCTGCTGACGAGCGGGGAACGCGAGCGAGAATCGGGCGACGGCTCAAGCGGCGTCAACGTCAATGGGCAAACAGAGCAGGCATTGGAACGGGGTAAAAAGGACCAATTTACCCCACAAACCACGAGTCTAAAAAAACCTTTTTTATTTTACCAGGTAAGGCTCACTGAGCTATGTAGCTCTTTTTCAAAAGTGACCTGGCCACAAATGATAGCTCAACGAAGTGGCTTATCATAACGTGGACATTTATAGCAGCTAAATACTCTTACACGCACGTTTCTAAATATATAGGCAAAAACCGGAGGATCCGGAGAAAAATCCACGCGACCACAGAGAGAATGCGCAAACTCCAAATATACAGCAGGCGTCAGGGTCGGGATCGAACCCACGACCTCCTGTATACCAGGCGAGTTAACATTTCGCCGCCGTGGCGCCCCGCATAAAAACATCGTTCAGCTGATACGGATATCTCCAACACTGACGGAGAATTGAGAATAGCTCACAGTGCAACCACGGTCACCGATATCAAACCGTGGTACGCAGAGTGAGACCACCGCCCGCTTCAATCAATCACTGGCAGCATGTCAGATATTCACCAGGCTACTTGTGAAGCTGTCCACTGGCTCACCCACCAACCTGAACATGAACAAATAAACAAGGTGCTTGCCACAAATGAATCACAATACCTTGCTGATCTCGCCAATGAGCATAAGCCATCACACAAACTCTGGTCATCTAGATTGAACAGTCATTTCTTTAGAACTGCTTTGGCTACGTACAGTGCAAAATAAGTTGAATATACATAAGTACATAAACGTTGCTGTTCGGCTTCCCTCAACTCGCAACAAGAACGACTTACGCTCATCCAGGTGGCACATTGCACGAAGTGCTCAGCTCGTGATTGAGAGGTCACGAGTTCAAATCCACGTCGGACTATGACTGAGTGGTTAATTTTAGAGACTGGTCCCCAACATAGGAATGTGGAATGTACACCTGTGGCTCAGGGTCGTTAATCAGAGAAGAGCGGTACCCCACGGTCACTGGGAAGGGAGGCACTGTGGCTTCTATTTTGAGGTATTTTGTTTAGACTATCAGAATAATTGTAAATAAATTATTTTCCATCTTTAAAAAATATATATTCTTTGCAGTGACTTTTTAAAGTTTCCATGATGGATGTAGCTTGCACCGTAAAATCGGTATGTTCATAAGAACACATACAATTAGCAATGATCAATGCATCTGGCTGGGTGACAGTGTGGAAAAATTATCAACTCACAGTTGGCAGTTTGTGACTCATCACCATTATCTTATTAAAAATAAATACTCAATTGCTTGGTTTATGCCAATAGTATTTCACAACATCTGTTGTTCCAAGGTCTCCATTTTAAAATAATCTCTTTTGGCTCCTGAATGGCTTAAGTATGCATGCTGTTGAAAAAAAATGAGTGGGGATCAAATATATACAAGTTCACTGGTGCAGAAACTACCGCATGAATATTTCTTGTTTTATTTTAACCCTCCCATGCATCTCGTTCGTCCGGGCGATTTGGTGGAGAGGACTCACTCTCTTCCCTAAATAATCGCCGATGAAATGACCTCGGCTAACACAAACGATTCAGCCGTTTGGTATGGCGTCCCGCCGCTTTGCTCCACATTCTGAGAGCTTCTTCAATCTACACCAGTGGTTTTCAAAGTGTGGTCAGCGGGCCATCAGGTGGGCCACGGCGGTCCTCCAGGTGATCCGCGGGGCTGTGATGCAAATGCAGCTCGATCTGGAAATAAAAAAACTCTTATACACCTTTTGTTTCGGACATTAAAATTTTACTCATATTTAATTAACAAAAAATTATTTAGGTAAACTACCCTGATTAAACTATGCTAACCCTAAGATCTAAATGCCACCCGTGAAAAAAAGAAAGCTTACAGCTGCATAATTTTTTTTATGTTCCGGTAATATGAATATTTTTTTTAATTCCTGGTATTTAGAGAGAGAAGTGAATGCATGTTGTCATCAGACGGGGGGAGGCTGGGTAGTCCACGGAAATGTTTGCATCGGCTGAGTGGTCCACGGGCCAAAACAGTTTGAGAAACACTGACCTACGCAAACGATATTGTCGGGCAAGCCAATGTACAAAAGCACCAATTCAATTTGGTAAAAATGAAGGAAATGAAGTCAAGCTCCCAGAATATTGAGTGAATGTCATAATACAGCACTCCACGTGATGGGAACTTCTTCCGGAACAGACAAAGCATCCCAGCACGTGGAACGAAACACGGGACATCGTGCGGGAACGACACGCACGGTACGACCGGAAAACACGCCGGAGAGCCGTACGGCGCACACCCGCGGAAATCGACGCCGAGGGCCCCGTCGTTGGGACTAAACCATACCAACACCATTCCGTGTGGAGCGTGGACTCTGGCAACCGAACGACGGTATGAAACTCGCAGTTTGTGCTGCTCGTTCGTGAATTTAGCCCGTGGTGCATTCATTGGGGGCGGGGGGGGGGGGGGCGCGTAAATGTCAATTTTGCGGCATTGTGCCATGAAAGAAAATTCTCCTGTGGATCACCGTTACCGCTTACAATGAAAGCAGTCGCCTGCAATTGCAAGAGACGGACGTTTTGGCGACTTGAAACAAACCATCAGCCATGTACAAGAGCCAAGAATGGTGACAAGCTACAATGATCTTCTCATCTCTGCTCTCCTCCCCCAGACACCACACCCCCCACCTCCCCCCCCCCCAACGACGATGAGAATGGATTGTCCCGACGGGTCCGTCCTGCCGACCCCCCCCCATTGCTTGGCAGGCCCCGGCTGGGCCGCGCCATTTCACTTGTCGGTAAGGAATGTGTGGTTCTCGTTGTTGTTCTGGTTACTCTTCTCCATGTGGAAGTTGTCGACGATGTTGTTCTCGTAGATGCCCTCGTTGGAGTAGATCACCTCGTAGTCGGAGTCCTTCTTCTTCTCCTCCTCCAGCACTTTGAGTATACACTTGTGGATGAATATGTACTGCATCTGCAAATAGCACGTCCGCCTTGGTCAGCATGTTAGTCTCTTCGGTCTCAGCCGAGTCGACGGCAGCCTGCGCAACTTTAGTCAAGTGTTCGCGCGCGAATTTAATTGCACCTGCATTGTTTATTTTAATAGCCACATTACGTGCACAAGATAAGATTTTATTTTTTTAAAAATTCCACAGGTTGTCATCCAGTGCGCGAGTGTGCGAGCGTACGAGTGTGCACTGGTGTGCAAGCGTGCAGGTGTGTGGGTGTGCCGGTGTGCGAGTGTGTCTTTGTGCGAGTATGTCTTTGAGCGGGTGTGTGGGTGTCTTGAGTGTGCAAGTGAGTGTGTAAGTGTGTGAGTGTGTAAGTGTGTGAGTGCGATGATGTGTGCGGGTGTTTCTATGAGCGGATGTGCGGGGGTGCGAGCGAGCGGATGTGTGAGTGTGCCGGTGGGTGAGCGTCTGAGTGTGTGAGCGGGCAGGTGTGTGAGTGTGCGAGTGAGCGGGCAGGTGTGTGAGTGTGCGAGCGAGCGGATGTGTGAGTGTGCCGGTGGGTGAGCGTCTGAGTGTGTGAGCGGGCAGGTGTGTGAGTGTGCGAGTGAGCGGGCGTGCGAACGTGCGAGTGTGTGGGCGTGCGGCCGCACCTCGGTTTGCACCATCAAGACGCGACTCATGCGCATGTCATGCACGATGCCGTAGATGTCGATCTCCGGCTTCTTGTCGATGTCCTGCAGGAGGTGGTCGAGCGAGATGAAGGTGCCGGTCCTCCCGACGCCCGCGCTGCTCCCACACGTGCACGGAGACGCAACGCACAGAGCGCCGCCGTTTAAATTCCGTGCTTGACTTCGATTCGAACTGGGCTCGTGTTTATTCCCTCTGGCTGGCTAGGGTGGCTAGAGGCAAGATGTTAACTACCTCGCCTAGTATACAGGAGGTCGCAGGTTTGATCCCGACCCCTGATGCCTGTATGCATGTTTTCCCCGTGGTCGCATGGATTTTCCTCCGGGTCCTCCAGTTTTTCCCTCCGCATTTAGAATCGACGCGCATTTAGAGTATTTGGCTGCAATAAATGTCCACTTGATTAGCCCCTTCGTTGAGCTATCATTTGTGGCCAGGTCGCTTCCGAACAAGAGCTATACAGCTCAGTGGGCCTTACCTGGTAGAAATAAAAGTTTAGTTTGCAGAATGCAACAACTGCCTCCCGGCTCGGCAGTTGAAGCAACGGGCAAGTTTCTTTCAGCCTCCCCCCCCCCCCCCCCCATCACCTATCCACCCAACAGTATAAATGGGAACACGACAGAGTTGGTCAAGCGGCAGGTCGAGTGCAGTGGGGTAAAGTGTGGGTACACCCAACCTCTTCTTCCTCCAAGACCTCCGGCCAGCATGACGGAGGAAGGCCAAACTGCCCTCTGGAGTTGCCCTCTGGAGTTGCCCTCTGGAGTTGCCCTCTGGAGTTGCCCTCTGGAGTTGCCCTCTGGAGTTGCCCTCTAGAGTTGCCCTCTGGAGTTGCCCTCTAGAGTTGCCCTCTGGAGTTGCTCTCTGGAGTTGCCCTCTAGAGTTGCCCTCTAGAGTTGCCCTCTGGAGTTGCCCTCTGGAGTTGCCCTCTAGAGTTGCCCTCTGGAGTTGCCCTCTAGAGTTGCCCTCTGGAGTTGCCCTCTGGAGTTGCCCTCTGGAGTTGCCCTCTAGAGTTCCCCTCTGGAGTTGCCCTTTGGAGTTGCCCTCTAGAGTTGCCCTCTAGAGTTGCCCTCTAGAGTTGCCCTCTGGAGTTGCCCTCTGGAGTTGCCCTCTGGAGTTGCCCTCTAGAGTTGCCCTCTGGAGTTGCCCTCTGGAGTTGCCCTCTGGAGTTGCCCTCTAGAGTTGCCCTCTAGAGTTGCCCTCTGGAGTTGCCCTCTGGAGTTGCCCTCTGGATCTCCGTCGAGCCGAGACCCTTCTGCCAGCAGTGGCGTGAGCAAGAAACACAGCAGGGCTGCGCTTCTACCATTCCCCTCTATTTACTATTCCCACTGCTTTCTGTGATGTTTGTGATTTGACTGCCACAGTGCACACCGTCACCAGCATCGGTCAGCCTTGGTCAATCGACTGCTGGATGAAGGCGTCCCCCAAAGTCACCGCTATCTTTCACGATCCTGCGATGCGATGATCCACCTAGCACCTGTACACGAGCCGATTCAATTTCTCCATCTCCTGAGGGAACGCCTTCTTGGGTCCGTTCAGTTTCTTGGCATTTCGTTTATAATCAAGGCCACAATTTTGTCACGATTATCTTGAGTAAAATTAATGGCTGAGGTGCGGGGAAAACGCAATAATTCGCGGAAAGGTCACAGAATAAGTTGGGGTGATTACCCACCTAAAATCTGCAACGTAAAAAAAATAAGTAGGTATTTATTTGAAAAAATAAATTAATAAAATAACACATTTAAAAGTAAAATCAATCACAAATCGAGTGGCTAATTTCAGTCATTTTTGTAATATGCATTCTTTCCAGATCGATTCAAAAGCATTGGTGTGCCCAGTTCACATTGGGACAGCCAAACGATCCTGATGCCCTCCTCCCCCTCACCCTCCCAGCTGCCCCCCATTCCCCCCTTCCCCCACTCTGCTCCACCATGGCCACCTCGGTAAAAAAGTCTATCATTTCAGCACATGACATGCGGACGTTTTGAAAGTAAAGGACGGTGATAACCTGAAACTAATTTCTTTAGAACTGCTTTTTGTTCTTCGTCCTTCCCCCGCACCTCCGATTAGCACGTTTGGCTAGGTATGGTGCAAAAGAAGTTCAACGTATCTACATGCATTCCTACAGCCACTTGCAAGCTGTCATGGGGATTTTTTTTTAATTCACGATTTTCCATGACCATCGTGACCCTCCTTGCCAAAGCCAGCGTCGATCACGGTCTATCATCATCACACATCACCATCGTAGTCATCGTCACGATCGTTCGAGTCGTCGTCACCGCCGCCGCACCTGCAATGCACAACGATGGGGCCGCCCTTGTTCGTTGTGTTCACGTGGGTGCGGAAGAGCCGCACGAAGTTGGTGAGTGAGTCCGTCGTGTCGGGGACGCCGTGGTCTGGCCACGCCGTGAAGTGGAAGTGGTACAGCGATCGCTTTTCATCTGTCTTATGCTGAGCCGGGGGTGGGGAGGGGGCGCAGGGAGAAAGCGGCGGTTAGTGCGCCCGGCACGCCACATTCAATATGCAGTACATCTCGCGTTAGCTGTGCCGGCTGGTCACGTGCCTACTTCTCTGGGGAGACAGCGGTTTGCATGGGAGAGGGAACGTCGTTTACGAGGAGGGAGATAGCGGTTTGCCAAGAAGGAGATGGCGGTTGGCACGGGAGAGAGAAAATGCGGTTTGCAAGGAAGGAGATGGCGGTTTGCAAGGAAGGAGATAGCGGTTTGCAGTCAATGGTGGGAGGGCCGCAGGGGAACGGTGGTGGTGGTGGTGGTGATAATGTCTGGGGAGGGGTGAGAGAGTAAAAATAAACATTCGTAGCTGCCGTCTGTTGACAGCGTGGACCCTTAAGAGGCTGGTTGTTTGCGCTTAAGGTCATGGCCAGGGCTTAATTTCTGGCGGGGGTTCATCTCAGCAAATATCAGTGCGCCCAGCGCACCGTAACGAATGTAATTCTCGCTGCATCGCGGCTACCGGTCATGGTGGCACTTCCCCTCAAGAAGGAACCCCGTCTCTAAGCCCACTGCAGTCAACGGAGACAACATTCCGTGAGAATGACGCACTGGTGGGAACGACCGTCCGTACACGAAACGTGCAGGGGGAGCGGGGATCATCGCTCATGAAGCCCTTCGCTGTGAGCACAGCAAGACATCTTCTGCAGAGGTAGCGGAGGAGTTCCTGTAACAGCTGTTTGTTAGTGGTCTTATGCTACCGAATGTGGTCTAGAGATACGGAGGTCGGGGGGGGGGGGGGGGGCTGCTATTTACTCAAAATCTCAAACAAATTCCCACGGTCATTTCTAACACCAAGAATTACACTTCTTCTTTTTTGACACAGAAGAGTGCTCCGACGAGTAAGGAGACTTTTCATGAAACATTTCAACTGACGTGAGGGAAATGCGCGACGACCCACAGGGAAGCACTTTACAAGGCACTTTTCACGAGTTTTCTTTTTTGATTGGCAACTGAAAGGTGCCTTTCTTTGTAACCTTTACACAAATGGCAGCAAAAAAATTACTTCTTTCGCTCGTCTCATCCCCTCAAATGTATTCCTCATTAACAACATCCGGCCCTCCAGTCAGTGACTTATTGGGGGTTGTGTGCATTCATGCACGCACGCATGCACTAGGCGAGTGCGTGATAATGGTGTGTGTGTGTGTGCGTGCGTGCGTTTGCGTGCAAGCGAACGTGTATGTGCTTTCACGTTTCATGGGAGCGCGTGTTTCTGAGCGCGTGTGCGTACATGCTTGTGCGCGAATGCCTGATGCCCACATACGGTGTGCGTGCGTGCGTGCAAGAATGCTCGGGGGGTGTGAGCGTGCGGGCCTCACGTTCTTGACCACCAAATGTCGGATCGTCCACTCGGGGCTCGGTTTGTCCCACTCCATTACGAGGCCGATGTCACCGTAGCGCACTGGCGTGATGTCCATGGGCCAGTAGCACTCGCACTTGGGCTGAGGGGAGCCACGCGGACGGAGCAGAGACAGAACGCGAGGCAGCGAGCGGCAAATCAGCGCGGTCAAGTACGGGTCGAGCGACTCCCATGGCGGAGGCCTTCATAGAGTGGTGGGGAGTTGGAGGGGGGTGAAGGTGGGGGGGTGACACGTCTCGATTGTATCATCTCGTTCGCTCCATGAGCCTGAACTAAACGCTCGCGTGGAGTGTGATGCATTACTGACGATGGGCGAGATTTGTACGCAAACCTACATGCGAATGCTGCAATTTGGCTGAAGTGGAAAACTAAAACTGCTCGCTAACAGCACTTGCTCCTACGGTTTGTTTCAAGGCTATACGGCGGAACTTTGTGGGAGCAATGGTCGGGGTGGTCGGGGATGGAGTAGAGTTGGTGGGGAGGGGGTCAGTGGAGTTGGGGGTGAGGGGTGAATGAACCACTACCTAGACCGACCCATGACCGCGGTCAGTGCTGACACTCACCTGCCCACGCTCCACACAGTTGGTGAGCATCACGATCTGGTTGACCTTCTGCTCCCACACCATCCTCCAGAAGTCCTCCCTCGTGCCGGCCAGGGGCCCCTGCGCGGCGATGTACTCCCGTGACGAGGAGTGGCCCTGCGCGCCGCACAGAGACAAAGATCCCCCATGTAGCCTTTCAACATACCGTTGGGCCAAGTGCTGTTATTAAGGCTGACAATTGTACACGAGGGAACCGGTGGCCAACACCATACCCACCCTGCATTCGTCACCCCAATGCTGATGTTTATAAACCACATCAGGTACTAAAATAAGGCTTAGTCGATCTAGAGAAGGCCCTGGACCTGTCCAGATATTCGTCACTGTTATTGGCCGCGAGAGGGAAACGATCTTGGGTCACCAGGTCCATAGTGCAGTGCGCTAACCGCTATATAGACAAAGATCCCCCGTATAGGCTTTACAGGCTGTTGGGGAAAGTGCTGTTAGCGAGCACCTATGAAGGCCGGCACGGCACACAAAGGGGTTGGGTGGCCAGCACCATTCCTGGCCGCCTCTGTCTCCCAAATGGCGATGTTTACACATCGCACAAGGCACTCATTTGAGGCCGAGTTGACCTTGTGAAGGCCCAGGACTGGTTCAGATATTCATCAGTAGTGTTGGTGGTCGCCAGGTTAGTAGCGTAGCTCGCTAACCGTTGCACCACTGCTCACACACGCACACGCGACACTTCTTTGTGAGCTGCACGGAATGCCGCAAGTGGAGGAGAAAGGCAGCCACGTGTTTTGTTTGCCTAGGTTTAAGGGGCAAAACCTTTCTTAGAATGACTGTCGATATTTAAACTAGAAGACACTCCTTCACCTCTTAATTTCTAAACACGAACCAAAGTCATCAAACCAAATGAATGGCAGCAGCATTAGCACGTGCAAGGGCCAGTTGAGACCAGTCTCTATCTCTCTCTTTCTCAAGGGAGATCTGGCTACACATAAATACAGATCTGGCTATGCATAAGTATTTATGGCCGTGTGAATGCGTAGATTGTGTGAATGGACCTTGATGCATTTGGTGTTGATGTCAGTGATGGACATTCTTGACGGAGTGTGGTAGTGGTGATGGTGGTGGCGGCGGTCATAGTGATACTCACCTTGATGTAGTTGGCGTTGATGTAGTCCGAGTGAGGGATGTCCTCGACAGATGCAAGCTTCACTCTGGTGACGTCAACTGCCGGATGGGGCGACGGCCAATGCAAGACAAACATCAATCGAGGTTTCTTCGAGGTTTCTTATATTCACTGATACGTGCCATGCCGAGCCAGAACCAAACAGTGATGCACTGTCCTCAGCAGATATATGAATCTGGCTCTGGGACAAGCGGAGCCAGGGTCATGGCTTACGACTCAATAATTTGCTCGTGACGTTTGTCACTACGCTGCGTGATCACGACGTCATTACATAATCTACACGTGTCTCAACTCGTTCACTCTGCGTACACTAAGCACACAAGTCTCACTGCATCGTCTCATCTACATGGTCTGGTTTATTGCGTGTGAAGTCAGTAGCATGGCTAGGCATCTGTAGTGGGAAAAAACTCAGCCCTCACTGAGACGCTCAGGGGACAGTGTCAGCCGAAAAACACTCACACGGGAGGATGTTGGTGTAACGGTTCTTGGTTCGGTTTTCAGCAAGTGTCGCTGCTTCCATCGCTTGACCCTTGCCAACGCTGCTGAGCTCCTGACAGGTGTGAGAAATTGACCAGAATTGGTGAAATTGGGTGCTCAAACGGCTCAGCATCTCAAAGCACCTTCTTACATCACATCTCAAACACTCCAATGCCCTGCTGCATTCTAGCCAAAGGATCCCTGGTAGCAGCTCTCTGTACAGTACAACACAAAAACAGGACCGACTTGCCAAAGGGACATTAGTCTCCCTGTTAGAGGCAAGTTGCTATGCGGTGTTGCGAATGTGGCAAAATGGGACCGGTGATGCCAGCACACATGGCCTTGTCTTCTAACAACCTGACCAGATTATAAAGGGTGAGTCCAGTTTATTTTATTTTGTTGCACCAGGTGAAAGGTCAAGAAACCGGGACGAGTCTCAGATGCAACAGTGAGCCGGGTCACCAAAATGATCAAAGCTAAAAATATAAAAGTCACATATTGTGGTTAATGCAGACATGATTCCTCGTAAAAGATTTTGTTGCCAGAAAAAAGGGGAAAACCTCTTCTCATATTTTGGTACTGGCAAAGGAGGTCCCATGAAAGTTTCGATCTTCAATCCTTATTTGTTTAATAAAAAACATTTCATAAGAATTTGAATACTTGCAGAGTGGTTATGAACAAAGTGCAGTGACATTGAGCTGTAGTAGAGGTGGGGTTAAAAAAGGTAACACGTTGTTATTACATTCAGGTGGAATTCCGGCTTACACGGACACTAAGAAGGTAGCGATGGTGGATTATGGCGGGACTTCCCCATGCCCAGCGGTAGTCTTGTAACGACATGTTGTGACGTGTCAATCACTGGCTAAAGTAAGTTTTTTACCATCGCGACACAAGCGTCGAATCCTGCATGTGCGAATCACTTATTTCCGATTGGTATATGTCGCAGGCGGGATGATGGACGACGGTCAAGCATGAAAACAAAGAGGTAGACAAGGAATAGAAAAACGCCTGAGATCGACCAATGAAATGATATTGTGTACAGGCCTCTGGATGGTTTGTTACATTGCAGGATCGTGCGAGGTGGCGGCACCCTGGAGAGAATTTTATCCACCAGTGAACTAACAATGGTTGATCATAATGTGTCGCATGTGGGACTTGTTTGGCCATACTTCCCACCCGCTGCTGGCCTCTGCAACAAGGCCAAGGGCTTACATTTACTTTAACATTTTATCTACAAAATGACACCTTGCCATATTTACACTATGTTACCCGATTTGTATTTTTTGTATTTTTAGATTGTATCTTATAGCTACTTTATATTCAATATTCATTCAAAATTTTACATACTTTAGCCCCTTAGTGTTAGTTAGACTTTGTACCTTTAGTATAGTTTAGACTTGTATACCACTTATTTTAGATTTAGGTTTACTATATGTTGAATGTATACACCTTCCTGCCAAAGTAAATTCTTTGTCTGTGCGAACTTTCATGGCGAATAAAACCCCTTTCTGATTCTGATTCTGGTCAATGCGGGTTCGTAAAGTAGGTGGCCCACTAACCTGGTATTCCTCGGAAAATAAATACCCAGAGTCGGCCTCGCGCTTCTTATAATAATCCGGAAACCTGGAAAATGAGCAATCAACACGTTTGTTGTAATAAAAGCAACCGAAAAAAACGTTAAATGTTACTCATTAAGAATATCGAATATCTAATCTGTACAATACGCAAGACTTTTAGGGGGGCAATTAATTAAGTGTGGCGCCCCTGTGCACGTGCATGCGTTATGTAAAGACAGTATCGTTTTAATGTGCTCCATATCAGCACTGGACATTACAATTGTCACAATATATTGGCCTCTATTTATTATTGTACATTAGTATTAATTATATGCTTGGTTATGCAGGAAAGACTCGCCGAGTCTCAACTATTTCAGGAGGGTCCTGTTAAGGTGTTTGCAGCAGAGGAGTTAAGCGCTCTGCCCTTCCCAGGTAAAAACATTTGCGGTGTCATTTTTAACTCTGGACCATTATGCTGACAAATAATGGAATACTTTTTTTCAAATTATGTCACAGGATCTTTAATATTCACTTTGAAGAAAACGGATTGTATTTTATGCTAATATGCCCGCAGCATTAACCAGGATGGCTTGCTAGATTTTAACCGTAAACCTGTGCGAGCAACAAGCTGCGAACACACTACCGCTTGGTCACGCTACCACTCAGACACACTCAGACTTACTTGCTAAAAGGCACTGGATTTCTTTTCCTATAATCACACAGATGCAAGAACAACGTTCGCAAAATCAGCAAACAAGATCAACAAAATTCAGTATGCGACGACGCATCGATGCAACCATTAGCACGTTTTTAGTTCATGATCAGAGCTTAATTTCTCACTGAACATACTCTGGTACACTATCAAACTGGAGTGTCCAGATTACTCGTAGCGGACAGCCATAGTGAGAGGAATACTGAATGTGGCGTGCTGGGTGCAGCATATCTTCCAGGTAACCGCTCGTCTGAAGTAGGTGGCACGTAACTGGTAAGCCAAAACTTATTTTTCCACAATAGCTCATGGTGTAGCAGGCTGCTCCCCTTCGCGAGTATGGGAACCGTACTCTTTAGTCCTTTCGGTAAAGTCACGTCTACGTAAAAGTCACGCCTACGTGACTTTACTGAAAGAACCAAAGAGTATGGATTCCTGCAGTCACGAAAGCTTCAGATCAAGATTAGGTGTATGGGAACGTTTCTGTGTGCACACAAACCCACGGGCAGGGAGAAATACTACCTATTAAACTATTTTTTTTATTTTACCAAGTAAGGCTCACTGAACTATACAGCACTTTTTCAGAAGCGACGTGGCCACAAATGATCCCTCAACGAAGTGGCTTATCACGTGAAAATTTACAGAGGCCAAAATACTCATAAATGCATGTTTCTAAATGTGGAGGGAAAAACCGGAGGACCCAGAGAAAAATCCACGTGACCACGGGGAGAACAAGAAAAAAATCTAAATAAGCAGGCTTCAGGGTCGGAATCAATCCACCACCTCCTGTATACCAGGCCAGGTAGTTAACATCTCTCCACCATGGCAAGATGTCGACTCGAGAAAGCGTCTTACGCTTTACCCCTATTCCAGTGGCACATCCGAGTCGAGCCAGCATGAAACCGTCACGTTTAGGCTGGTTTTCCACTGACCATTTGCCAATCCGAGTCGGACCTAACCCTTGGCTTCACAAGAAATCCGCATTTAGCTCAAGGTCAAGTGCGATCAGAGGCGAGGTATTCATTATGCGTGACGTCAGTCAGTACAGCTCAACACAGCTTCACCACACCCCTTCCCAGCACAAACCGGAGCAGGGTGCAGAGGTTGCAAGCTCAGAGGTCACTAACACGGGTCACATGCTTGTGTGTGACGTCAACGGCAGTGGAATAAACAACCTGGTCCCTCCCGAGCTGCTCCGGGATGGCCCAGCACGTCGATGTGCCAATTGCAAATGGCGGTAATTGTGCCGTGCGTGTTTTGTCCGTGTCTGCGTTACCTCATTGAAGTTAGTTTATTTGTGGGAACTCTGTCGGGCTCCTTGTCTTTCCTAAGAAAATGCAGCAATGGACAACGATGTCAATGATGTTGTTTTAACCCTCGGATGCACCACGTCCATTGTGGCGTACTGCTATGATTCGTTGGCATTTCAACCACGGTGCACGCAGTTCTCTGCCCTCGGGTATCACACATTTAAGGGGGCATAAACCACACAAACTCCGGTCATCCTCGCAGCAGTGGCGGCTTTATGGTTGGCCATCGAACAAAGACGGTCACCGCATTTTTTCTTCTTCGTTCTTTCGGTAAAGTCACGTAGAATGGAAACAAAGTAATAAAAATAAAACATAATAAAAAAAGGTCACCGCATCGCGCTTTCAGATGCGCTTCTGGAACGCTCTTCCTTCCGATATTAGGAAGCCGCTTGAGCTGTGCACTTTTAAATCATCATCTAGATTGAAAACTCGTTGAATTAGAACTGCTTTCATGTTTAATGTGTTGCCCTTCCCCTTGCACCTCCGATTTAGCACGGCTGGCTATGTAGAGTGCCAAAAAAGTTCAACATACATACACGTGTGTGGCGGCCTAGCAGTGGACAATGTGACTACTATTGCAGGTGGCTGGAGGCATCTGTGTGTACTGTAATGGACATGATGAGAATGTTGCGAATAAATTACAGAAATATTGTTACAAAATCAACATGCGCGTGGAGTTCGTTGAACTCAAATCAAACTAAACCAAATGAAAGCAAAATTTTGTGATACTTTTAATAATCCATATGTGAGAGAGTTCAGCACAAAGGGCCTTAGCTATCATCGTTCTCCTACATCGTGGGTTACGAATCATCTATTATCAACAAAACGCAAATAGGCAATACACAATAGCATATCGGTACCTCTGCATAAACATTACAGTATTTCAGCCACACAAACTTCTGGGAGTACGTACATTTCAGCAGCATTGTATAAACACAAGCAAACTGATTGCATTATGCATTTCCAGAAGGCTTGTGTGGCTGGTCGGATGTGCAAAAGAAATGTAACGTTTTATGTGGAGGGACAGATATGGGATCGGGACATATTGTCCGCTCGTTAATTTTTGTTGCTTGTATCCTCCATGATGACGTGCATTGTGAGAGAATCACGCCTGACTAACAATTCAACATATTTAAGAATGACAATTAATAGACAAATAACATACCGTATATGCTACGAAAAGAAGAATTAGAATAACATTTAAAAAAACACACAGAAATCTCATCAATGGTCCTCTAAACTGTCTGAGACACCGTTCCGGTACCCAACCTGGCTGCTATTATGATTTCATTTTAAACATCGTGAGCCACCAACTGAATGCCGTGAGGAAAGTGTTTGCAATTAAAAAGCAGTACTTGTACACTATCGATCTGGGTGAGCGTACGGAATGTGAATTTTCTATCTATTCAAGTGCAGGGCCATTACCTTCGTCGATAAAACAGGAATCCACTGACAGCACAAGCAATCACTACAATCATTGCAGTCGTCAGGCAAGCAATCAGAATGACATTTGGGCCTGCAAAACACAGACCACATAACCATTTACAAAGCGGTTTAAAAAAAACAAACACTTTACATTCTACAGCAGTGTTTCTTCAACTTTTTTTTGGCCCGCAGACCACTGAGCTGATGCAAACGTTTCCAAGGGCTAGCCAGCCCCCCACCCTGGTGAGAAAATGCATTAACTTATCTCTAAATACTAGTAATACAAAATGATTCATATTACAGGAACATTAAAAAAATGTATGCAGCTAAAAGATTGTGTTTCTTAATGATTAGACGTTAGAGTTAGGTTAGTTTTAATTCGGGTAGTTTACCCAACTTCATTTTTTAATTAAACATAAGTAAAATATTAATATATCCAAAAGAAAAGGTATAAACATTGTCATTATTTCCGGATAAAACCTGCATTTGCGTCACAGCCCCGTGGACCACCTGGAGGACCGTCACGGACCACTTTTGAGAACCACCAACCAATCTACTGAAATGTTTTTTTTAATCTTTAAATGATATGAAATGTATGGATATGCGTACAGATTAGAAACATGGCCACTGGAAAACAGGATGGTACAAAAAGTGGCGATGAAATATCATCTTTGCTTGAAACACCATAAACTCACATGTTTTCACGTAAACGTTGACATCTGGCGAACATAAATTCTGGCAGCAGGCCTCTACTAACACATTGTACGTAGTGCTGTAGGCCAATGCACCGGTGGCATGGGAACTTTCGCTTGAGTTATAAACGCCTGCCCAATGAACCGATGAATCTTTTGATAAGACCACATTGAAGAATTCGACATTTCCTTCGGGTTGTACCCACTGTATATCGATGTGATTGTAATTCTTTACTTTTGGTGTGACTTTCCCCACTTGGTTTGGATCTGTTAACACATAGACATGGGATAAAAAAAAATACTTTTAGGAGAGAAAATGGCAGGGTGGTTACTAATGCAGGGCCCTCTCTGACTGGAAAAGTTTAAAGTTCAAATCCTGGTCATGGCTAGACGCAGTCCATTGCCATATTTTCATGGCTGATGCAAACAAACAGCACTGTGTGATTGTGAACAGTGGTCGTCCTTACTCTTTGGTTCTATTCGGTAAAGTCACGTAGGTAAAAAATAAAACAACAAAAATCACGACGTTTCGGCCACAACACAAGTGGCCTTCTTCAGGTGAAGGAACAGAACTGTCGGGACGACAGCACTTCAATGACCGCTGCTAAGATTCGCAGCGTCTTTGAAGCTCGGTGGGAGGAGCAGGGCGCCTTGACAAAGGAGTTTACATATCAAAAATATCTGTGTTAAAGTGTTGAAGCAGCAGGGTGTTAAAGTCAGAAAATTAGCTGGGGGATTAGCATGTTTTTGTGTAGAGGGTGTGGAGGATGGGTCACTGTGTGTGTGCAATAGAAACGGAAAAAAATTAATATCGGCAAGAATGTGCTGTCAGGGGAGAGTAGAAAAAAGGGTTTAATAGAAAGTTCGGAAGGAATATGCTTGGTATACCATTACTTGAAATTGCTGTTAGAAATTACTTGACGTTTGGTATGATTTAAAACGTCTTTCCAATGGTTGCTTAATTTTTAATTTTTTCCGTTTCTATTGCACACACACAGTGACCCATCCTCTGCACCCTCTACACAACAAAAACATGCTAATCCCCCAGCTAATTTTCTGACTTTAACACCCTGCTGCTTCAACACTTTAACACAGATATTGTTGAGATGTAAACTCCCTTGTCAAGGCGCCCTGCTCCTCCCACCGAGCTTAAAAGACGCTGCGAATCTTAGCACCGGTCATTGAAGCGCTGTCGTCCTGACAGTTCTGTTCCTTCACCTGAAGAAGGCCACTTGTGTTGTGGCCGAAACGTCGTGATTTTTGTTGTTTTATTTTTTACCTACGTGACTTTACCGAATAGAATCAAAGATTATGGATCCTTGCAGTCACGAAAGCTTCAAATCTAGAAGTGGTCGTCCTATGGATAGACTGGCCCCCACTATAAGAACGTGGAATTTATACGACTGGGTTAGTGCCACCATTGGAGAAGCACCACTGAATCACAAAGGTCATGTGCAGCACCATGCCACAGCGTTGCATTTTCCAATGCACTCCTAACAAAGATCGTTTGTTTGGCTGGTATCAGGGCCAAACTAGTACTCAAGTAGTCGAAAAGTCCATTGAAAAGTTTTATTTTGCAATCCCCCAAAACCGTCAGGGAAGCTCTTTGTACAAGTTACAACCAGGATTATATTTCGATTTAAAGCTTTCGTGACTGCAGGGATTCATATTCTTGGTTCTACAGAAAGAACTAAAAGAACCAAGAAAGATAACAACGATTATGCTATATAATCTGTGGGCAAGGCCAAACGCGAACATCAATCGGCACAGGAAGACCGAGCTGTGAGACATCTGAATTTCAGATAAGCTCATAAACCCTAAAAATTCCCTCTTAGAGGGGTTATCTCAAGCTCCCTCTAGTGGGGCCCCCTTTCTCCAGCAGTGGCATAAGAATAGCAATTGCAGGGCTGCGACTTTACCTTAATTCTGTTGGCCTGCAATTCCAAATGGTTGTTACACTCATTCTTTTGTATATACACACACGTGAGTCACAAACAAATGTTATACTGGTAGGAACCTCCTGGTTACACCAGCCCACAGGGGATTATTGTGTCCGTCCGTCGTGCATCCAAAAATGGGAGGGGTGGGGCTGGGTGGAGAGGGGAGGGTGGGGAGGGGCTGGGTGGGGACGGAGGGCTGGGTGGGGAGGGGAGGGTGGGGAGGGGCTGGGTGGGGTGGGGAGGGTGGGGAGGGGCTGGGTGGGGAGGGGTTGGGTGGGTGGGGAGGGTGGAGCTGGGTGGGGAGGGTGGAGCTGGGTGGGGGGTGGTAGGGGTGGGGCTGGGTGGGGAGGGGCTGGTCACCCCGTGGTGCCCTTATAAAACTAAACGTTTAACCTACTCACGCCGGCTTGTGCCCGCCCTCACAGTCGGGCATATTTGCAAAATTTCACCACGCCGCCATTGACCCTGGCCATTGACCGAGCAACCCAACGTTCCTACTAGCTCCCTCCGCAGGAATGTGTTCATTAGAAACTACAGCATTGCCAATATTAATTACAGACATGTTGTTTTGCGTGGATATTAACGCGACAACTTATCTTATCCGCAACACTTACATGTGAGTTGTGGCCTTGACTCGAGAGTATTTCTACAAAATGAACTGGACGTGGTAACCGAGACATGGTATTTGGTGCATGGCTGCAAATTTTCGAAAGAGCACTCCGTTTGGTCAGGATTTAGATGTTTTATTGAATCTAGAGATGTGTTACCGTTGGTCAGTATCACGGTATAATTATCTACATTGCCATAAGCCTTGTCAAAGCTCACTGACAAGTTCTTATTGTGATGTGTATTGAGGTTCAAGTTTGTAACCAAGCTAGGATCTGAAAGAAAGAATACCGCACAAACAAGCGTGTTACAACCTTGACAGCAGTTGACTTGATTCGCACAAGAGAGCCTTGCTCTTCTGTCGTACGGTGTGTTATAGCAATACGCAAATCGTTTTTGGAAAAGCAAGTAAAGCTATAAATCAATGGGGTTTTTTTGCCATTCAACGGCATCGGTGATGAGCTGGCAAACTGCTTTGGTACCGCCGTTCTGTGCTCTCAATGGGCTGCAGAGGAGCACGACATAGTTTGTTCTGTTACACAGTCACAGGTGGAACTATCTTTTAGCCTCCGCACAGGGCAATAGCATCACAACTGTGGTGGTGCCTGCTCAGCAGCACGCTAGTAGAGGCTTCACCTTCCCCAGTCAGAACCTTGCAGATTCAAGTCTTGCACAGGGATTGAGAATACATTCGTATGAATGATTCTTCTTGTTTTCTTTACTTAAAAAAGGTGTGGTGACTTTTTCCGTGTGCAGACTTACCTGTGCACATTTCAGCATCCGCTTCAGTGCTGTTACAGTTTCCACTCACTGTGGTGACATGGACTTGGTAACGCCGGCCTGGGATCAGATCATTAAAGCTGTGCACAGTTGTGTCGTTTGATAGATTTACTGACTTATCCACAAATCCATTGGCTGTGTCCACCAGTTCAACTGTGTATTGAGTCACATCCCCAGTGGCGCTGAGGAAGTTTACTGTCAGGCTGGTGGTGCCCTCATTTTCAAGAGTCACACTTTGAACGGTTTCAGGAACTGCAACATAAAGACATGCACACGAGGAAAACAATGGCAGTGCCTGTTCAGCAGCACTTTACTAAAAGCTTCACCTCCCCAGTCAGAACGTTGCAGATTTTAAGTCTTGCACAGGGATCAGCCCATCGTTGATTGAGAATACATCGTAGGAATCATTCTTCTTGTTTTCTTTACTTTTAAAAAGAGTGTGATGACTTTTTTCGTGTGCAAACTTACCTGTGCACATTTCATCAGTCACTGGAGGGCTGGTACAGTTTCCACTCACTGTGGTGACATGGACTTGGTAACGCCGGCCCGGGATCAGACCATTAAAGATGTACACAGTTGTGTCGTTCAATAGATTTGTTGACTTGACCACAGATCTATTGGTTGTGTCCACCAGTTCAACTTTGTATTGAGTCACATCCCCAGTGGCGCTGGTGAAGTTCACTGTCAGGCTGTTGGTGGTGCCGTTGTTTTCAAGAGTCACACTTTGAACGGTTTTAGGAACTGCAACATAAAGACATGCACACGAGGTAAACAATGGCGGTGCCTGTTCAGCAGCACTTTACTAAAGGCTTCACCTTCCCCAGCCAGAACGTTGCAGATTTTAAGTCTGGCACAGGGATCAGCCCATCGTTGATTGAGAATACATTCGTAGGAATAATTCTTCTTGTTTTCTTTACTTTTAAAAAGAGTGTGATGACTTTTTTCGTGTGCAAACTTACCTGTGCACATTTCATCAGTCACTGGAGGGCTGGTACAGTTTCCACTCACTGTGGTGACATGGACTTGGTAACGCCGGCCCGGGATCAGACCATTAAAGATGTACACAGTTGTGTCGTTCAATAGATTTGTTGACTTGACCACAGATCTATTGGTTGTGTCCACCAGTTCAACTGGGTATTGAGTCACATCCCCAGTGGCGCTGGTGAAGTTCACTGTCAGGCTGTTGGTGGTGCCGATATTTTCAAGAGTCACACTTTGAACGGTTTCAGGAACTGCAACATAAAGACATGCACACGAGGTAAACAATGGCGGTGCCTGTTCAGCAGCACTTTACTAAAGGCTTCACCTTCCCCAGTCAGAACGTTGCAGATTTTAAGTCTTGCACAGGGATCAGCCCATCGTTGATTGAGAATACATTCGTAGGAATTCTTCTTCTTGTTTTCTTTACTTTTAAAAAGAGTGTGATGACTTTTTTGTGTGCAAACTTACCTGTGCACATTTCATCAGTCACTGGAGGGCTGGTACAGTTTCCACTCACTGTGGTGACATGGACTTGGTAACGCCGGCCCGGGATCAGACCATTAAAGATGTACACAGTTGTGTCGTTTGATAGATTATCTGACTTGACCACAGATCCATTGGCTGTGTCCACCAGTTCAACTGGGTATTGAGTCACATCCCCAGTGGCGCTGGTGAAGTTCACTGTAAGGCTGTTGGTGGTGCCGTTATTTTCAAGAGTAACACTTTGAACGGTTTCAGGAACTGCAACATAAAGACATGCACATGAGATAAACAATGATGTTGTTGACTTAAAGTTTTCGTGACTGCAGGAATTCATACTCTTTGGGTCTTTCAGTAAAGTCACGTAGAAAAAAGAAAATCACGACGTTTCGATCGCAATACAAGCAATCGTCTTCAGGTAAAAAAAATACAGCAGGCGAATATTGCTGAGGCAGAAGAAATATAGCGGGAGAACTGCTGCAGCAAGAGGTTATATAGGAACCCAAGGGTGGGTGGGGCCAGAGATGGAATTTGCATGTAAATGTAAGATCGGAGAGCCTGATATACATCGGCCATTGTATTGCTAGAGATTAGCGTGTCAATCTGTTAATGTTACCCCATGACTACGGTGCTGAAGAAGCCATTGTATTGCTAGAGATTAGAGATTAGCATGTCAAGGTGAGATGGCTCCCGCAGCAGCGGCTGTGTTAATGAGAAGATTGGCATGTCAGTGTTAGAGAATCGGGCACAACGCCACCTCGTGGGCAACAAAAGCTGCGGTGTTGGCCGCTGCACTGTGAGAGACCAGCATGTCAACGCAAAAGAACCACCGCAGCGTTGGCCGTGCCAGTGAGACATTCAGCCTATTAAACAACGAGAGCCACTGCCACATCGAGTAAAAGGAAACAGTGGCTATGTGAGTGAGACATTTAGCCTGTTAATGTAAAGACATTTAACAAGGTAATGTAACTCAGAGAGTCAGAAATAACTGCTTACATCAGCAGGTAGGATGGAAGCTTTACAGCCAGTTTTGACTATACTGTTAATAACGTCCTTCCAATGATTGCTCAATTTGTCCCCATCTTCTCGGTTGAAATTGTGTCTGTTTTTATATATCTGTATGGCTTCATGAACACATCTTTGTTGATAGCCGGTGGGTTTGCAGAGTACCTTCGTCTTGGAGAAATCAATTTCATGTGTGCCCACAGCGTTAAAACAATGATCAGCCACGGCCGAGGTATTGGTCCTACTGTGTTTCAGATCCGCTTGCTGTATTTTTTCAACTGAAGACGATTGCTTGTGTTGCAATCGAAACGTCGTGATTTTTTTATTATTTTTCTATCTACGTGACTTTACCAAAAGACCCAAAGAGAATGATGGTGCCTGTTCAGTGTCGCTTTGGTAGAGGACTAACCTTCCTCAGTCAGAATTCTGCACATCTAAATCTTGCTCAGGGATCAGCCCATCATCAAAAGAGAATACATTTATATAAATGATTCATCTTGTGTTCTTTACTTTTAAACAAGTGCAATGACTTATTTTGTATGCAGACTTACCTGTGCACATTTCATCAGTCACTGGAGGGCTGGTACAGTTTCCACTCACTGTGGTGACATGGACTTGGTAACGCCGGCCCGGGATCAGACCATTAAAGATGTACACAGTTGTGTCGTTCGATACATTTTCTGACATGACCACAGATTCATTGGTTGTGTCCACCAGTTCAACTGTGTATTGAGTCACATCCCCAGTGGCGCTGGTGAAGTTCACCGTCAGGCTGGTGGTGGTGCCCTCATTTTCAAGAGTAATACTTTGAACGGTTTCAGCAACTGCAACATAAAGACATGCACATGAGATAAACAATGGTGGTGCCTGTTCAGTGGCGCTTTAGTAGAGGACTAACCTTCCTCAGTCAGATTTCTGCACATCTAAATCGTGCTCAGGGATCAGTCTATCGTCGATAGAGAATGCATTTATATGAATGATTCATCTTGTGTTCTTTACTTTTCAAAAAGTGCAATGACTTATTTTGTATGCAGACTTACCTGTGCACATTTCAGCAGTCACTGGAAGGCTGGTACAGTCTCCACTTACTGTGGTGACATGGACTTTGTAACGCCGGCCCGGGATCAGACCATTAAAGGTGTACACAGTTGTGTTGTTTAATAGATTTGTTGACTTGACCACAGATCCATTGGTTGTGTCCACCAGTTCAACTGGGTATTGGGTCACATCCCCAGTGGCGCTGGTGAAGTTCACTATCAGGCTGTTGGTGGTGCCGTTATTTTCAAGAGTAACACTTTGAACGGTTTCAGGAACTGCAACATAAAGACATGCACACGAGGTAAACAATGGTGGTGGCTGTTCAGCAGCACTTTACTAGAGGCTTCACCTTCCCCAGTCAGAACGTTGCAGATTTTAAGTCTTGCATAGGGATCAGCCCATCGTTGATTGAGAATACATTCGTAGGAATGATTATTCTTGTTTTCTTTACTTTTAAAAAGAGTGTGATTACTTTTTTGTGTGCAAACTTACCTGTGCACATTTCATCAGTCACTGGAGGGCTGGTACAGTTTCCACTCACTGTGGTGACATGGACTTGGTAACGCTGGCCCGGGATCAGACCATTAAAGATGTGCACAGTTGTGTCGTTTGATAGATTTTCTGACTTGACCACAGATCCAATGGTTGTGTCCACCAGTTCAACTGTGTATTGAGTCACATCCCCAGTGGCGCTGGTGAAGTTCACTGTCAGGCTGTTGGTGGTGCCCTCATTTTCAAGAGTGACATTTTCAACAGTGTGAGGAACTGCAACATAAAACACACACGAGATAAACAATGGTGGTGGCTGTGAAGGGCCATCTTGTTGACAAAGGGGTGGATCAGTTGGTACAGTCCACCAGTCACAACAGGAAGGCTGCACATTTACAATTTATTTACAGTGTCCAATCAGCCAATTATCCATTCGGGGTCCATAAAACAAAGTACTATTTTGAGAGAAGCCAACAGTGGTTATCCTAATGAGACCATGGCTCCTACTATGGACCCATATAATTTACACCATTGACTTACGGCGGTCCATTCAAACGAGTGCTATCCCATAGCTCATTTGAGCAAACTATATGTAAAAAAATATCTTTTTTTATTTTACCAGGTTAAGCCCACTGAGCTTTTGACACTTTTGCAGAAACGACCTGGTCACAAATGATAGCTCAGCGAAATGGCTTATCACGTGGAAATTCATAGCAGCCAAATACTCTAAACACATCTTTCTAAATATGGAGGGGAAAACCGGAGAACCCGAAGGAAAATGCACGTGACCACGTGGAGATCTTGCAAACTCCAAATATACAAGCAACAGGGTCGGAATCAAATCCACGACCTCCTGCATATCAGGTGATGGAGATAACATCTCGCCACCACGGTGCCCCAAGCAGATACATCTTACATTTCTACCAAGATATTCTTCAAGATATTTTCTCAGTTTATGCTTGTGTGTGTGTACAGACTTTTCCGTGCACATATCATAAGCCTATTTAATAGATGTTACAGTGATTTATATGGGATGCAGGAAGCTTGAACTCAGGACCTGCCTTTTGGGCAGGTATATGAATCCTTAATTCATCCTTAAGCATAATGAATCCTTCATACAATTACCGTATATATACATTTTATAGGATGCTGTCATTAAGTCAACAAACACTATTAGATTGGGAACAGATGGCTTTATCTGCACCGTACCACACACACACACACCAGTAGATGAGTTATCTTCTACTAGAATGATGGTCAAGACCCCACTGACAGTCGTCATAGAGACACGGTAAAGCTTGCCAGGCGTGAGGCTCTCAATAAGGGCGTCGGTTTTGTTATTCGATACAATGTTGTTTATGACAGATGCAGTCATAGCATCAAACCAGGGGCGGAGCCATAGGGGGGGCTGGGGGGGCTTAGCTCCCCCTGAAATTTTGGGAAAGTCGGTAATCGGGATAACCGGATATCCGGCTGCTGCAAAATGCTGCAGGCTGCCACCTTGTGCTGCCCTGCAGGCTGCCACCTTGTGTGCTGCCCTGCAGGCTGCCACCTTGTGTGCTGCCCTGCAGGCTGCTTGAGCGGCAGCCTTTCGAACTTATCGAACTTTTTAGCCACATCAGCGGCTCCGACCTATTAATAAACTCCGCGTTCAAATCCAATAAAGTTTGTTTTATACATTTGTGGCGCCCATCGGAAAACATTAACACTGGATATCTCAGAATATTGAAGTCAGCCCCCCCAAAGTCAAAATCCTGGCTGCGCCCCTGCATCAAACAGATTAACGTTATAAAAGTCCACATCACCAATGGCCCTGAAGAAGTTCACACGCGGGGAGTTTGAGCTGCCTATATTGGCAACAGTCAATCGGGTAACTGGTGCTGGAACTATGAAACAACACAAAGCAAAACAAAACTGAAATGTATACATTACATTTGATAAACATATACGAGACAACATAAGCATGTTAACAACAACAACGCTGAAACTGTAAAGAAGTATAAGTGGGCTTGTGCGGAACGTCTCTAGAAGGGATGTTGGCTGGTGGTCGAGACCACTGACAGAGTGGCAGCCAAAGGGGTGAAACACAGCAAAAAGGTCAACCACTGAGGACATGGAGCAACAAGATCAACTCATGTGAACGAGATGAATTGTGACATCGCAAGAACATGAGGGATGGCGACAGCATGGATAGGCAATGTATGTTGAACTTCTTTTGCACCGTACGTAGCAAACCGTGCTAATCGGAGGTGCAGAGAAAGGGCAACAAACTAAACACAAAAATCATTTCTAAAGAAATTGGCATTCAATTTTGATTTAAAAATGTATAGTTCCAGTGGCTTCCTAATAGCGTTCCAGACGGCCGCAGAAGCACATCTGAAAACTCGCGATGCAGTGACCGTCTTTGTTTGATGGATAGCCAAAAGTCGCTTTGGGTATGACTGCAGGTTTATTTGATGGTTCATGCTCCTCGTTGAGATCAGAAAGGTGTTGTGGTTTATTTGTGGCAAGCACTTTGTGTGTAAATGAGTGCGACCTTATAGCTTATTAATTCGGCAACTTGAAGCCAATTGCAGCGAAGCGAGCACTGGACGGACACGGTCAGATCTTGCAATATCCATCACGACACGTGCCACATTAATTTTGTACACTCTGCATGGTTCATGATGATGCGATGACAACATGGGTATGGATCCTGGCAGCGTACCTGTGCACATTTCTTTTCCCGCACCAGTGCTGTTCAGGTCTCCACTGACAGTTGTGACTTCTGCTCGATACAGCCTGCCCGCAGTGAGGCCCCTGAAGGTTTTCTCCGTTGTGGAATTTTGGAGACTGTCCGCCTGGACTACAGAGCCACTCTGTCCGTCCACGAGATCAACTGCATATGAATCCACATCTCCGATGGCCGACTGGAAGCTCAGGTGGAGGCTGTTTGTGGAGCCATTATTGTCCAATGTTACATTTGAAACAGGAGCAGGAACTGCAAAACACGAACGAGTGCAACGTACGGAGGTGGTATGTTACAAGACAACGTTCATACACTGTAAACTCATGTATTTGTTTGGTGTGTACGCGTGTTGTTTCGTTTTGCATACATGTAACTAATATGCAAAATTTGAACCGGTTTAAACCAGTTTTTAGTAATCGGTTAGCCGGAAATCCAATTTCCGAGACAGCAACAGGTTCAGTCGGTTATGGGTTAACTTGACCCTCCCTTACCAAGGTGGACTCCCCTGATTTTCAGTATGCGAGACACATCCCCGATAACCGTAAAGGCTCGAACCCCTCCAATGAGACCGTCTTTCGAGAGGTGTGACCGGCATCTGGCGGCGATATCTGTCGAATCTTGCCGCTGTGCCTGTCCTTCACAGGTCACTGCTGTCACACTCAGAAGGGTGTCTTGAGTATGATCACTTTTCTTTTTGTTTCCCCCACTGGAAGGGAAGGGGTGGTTGGGGCGGGGAAAAGAAACGCCTGTGGATTCAGGCGTCTCCGGGAGCTGCCCAGAGCAGAGTACGTCTGTCAATTCTCCTCCGCTGAACCCCCAAACGAATGCGCCGTTTGTAATAATGTATCGACCATGGGAATACCAATCACGAGATTCCCAGAAAAAAAATCCCATGTATTGTGTTAACTGGAAAGGAGATGGATTATGAAAAATTTCTATAATATTTTTTTGAGTTAGATCGTGTAAATATAAATGTGCCGTGAAACCCGCCACCATCCGACACAGCCAATTATTAAGGTTTGTGACGTAAACAAAACATGACAATCCATTCCTAGTTCAGCACACCAGTGTGTTGGAGAGTAAACCCACAAAATGTACAAATTGATGAAAAATCAACTTTGCTCATTTTTTATTCCATTCTCCTGCCACTCCCCTCCTCCTCCATGTGAAAAACTTGTCACACAACAAATGTCAAGTTTTATAGACCAAGGAAAATAAAAAAATACCTATTCATAATAAAGGTTTTTGGGTTAGATCGCGTTTATTTATAAATGTGTCGTAACCCTCCGACACCCGACACGGCCAATCAGCAAAAAAAAGTGTCACGTTGACAAAAGACAAATAATTCACTACTTTAGCCCACCGGTGTGTTGAAGAGTGAATCCACATTTACAGTTTGAGTACGACGTTTCGCTGGTAAATACATCCAGCATCATCGGGCAATTCGCCAGAAGCATCATCGGGCAATTCGCCAGAAGCATCATCGGGCAATTCGCCATTCTGGCGAATTGCCCGATGATGCTGGATGTATTTACCAGTGAAACGTCATACTCAAACTGTAAATGTGGATTCACTCTTCAACACACCGGTGGGCTAAAGTAGTGAATTATTTGTCTTTTGTCAACGTGACACTTTTTTTGCTGATTGGCCGTGTCGGGTGGTGGAGGGTTACGACACATTTATAAATAAACGCGATCTAACCCAAAAACCTTTATTATGAATAATATTGGTCGCGAAAGCCTACGTGTTAAAAAAATACCTCTCAATGTAAAGAAGTTTGTCGCGCGGTTAGTTTAGAACAGAGTTTAAACAAACCGACACAAACCTTCACATTAGCATGATTGGCTATGTACGGTGTTAAAGAAGTTCAACATACATTACAAAGCTATTTTTTTTTATTTCAACAGGTAAGGCCCACTGAGCTACATTATATAGCGTTTTTTCAGAAGCAGCTTTGGCCACAAATGATAGCTCAACAAAGTGACTTATCACGTGGAAATTTATATCAGCCAAAATACTTTAAACGCACACTTCTAAATGTGGAGAAAAAAATCCACGTGACCATGGGGAGAGAGACAGCGCAAACTCCAAATATACAGCAGGCGTTAGGGTCGAGATCGAAAACACGACCTCCTGCATACCAGGTGAGGTAGTTAACATCTCGCCAACCGTGGCACCCCATGTACATACATACACCATGCTAAAACTAACATCTTACTTGTCCGTGTAATGCTGTTCCACCTGACGCCTGAGTCCCGCCAGATGATGAGTGTGTAGATGGCTCCGGGGATGAGGTTGGTCAAGTTCGCTAGGTAGAAATCACTCGACGTGATGCAAGTGCTCGGTACAGTTCTCACACGGGAGCCAGTCGCTGCACTAGGAGAGTTGGTGACATAGGTGACGTTGTAGTTGCTCTCATCGCACGCGGCTCTGTCTCTCCACGTCAATTCCACAGTCGTCTCACTCGCAGTAACATTAACATCCAGGGGGGGCTCAGGTGTGGTGGTGGCGATGGTGGTGGTGGTGACTGGTGCGTTAGTAGTAGTCTGTCCGAACCCGTCCTGTGTGGAAACGATCAAAAGCGAAATTAAATATTTAGCAAAAGAAATCATCACAAGCACGGTCTTAGGCACATTGCAGATGTACAATGTGGTTCAAGATGTCTCGAGATTCCTCGAGATTCCAAAATGAATTGACCCCTTCAATGTTTGTCTCCCTTTGCATATTCATTTGTGTTTTAAATAAATCTTACTCATAAAAAAAATGTGGAGAATTAAATTGGGGTCACAAGACATCTGGACCAAACTGTGTACGGTGTGGTTCATATGGGTGGCACCAATGTCCTTTACACAATGTACATCCAATATTTGCACGTTAAAACATTTGTCAAGACGAGGTCACCGGCAATGTCATTGACATCATTAATCATATCATGAATGCCATCAGCGTTTAATTTTGTATTTGCTTGGTTGATCACATTTTTTCAAGCACAACCCGTCTGTGAAACTCGCCAGCCCTCCGCGGCCACTGGCCGCCTCCTTTTCCCAGCCATTTCGCTGAAGTTCGGCCCGGATCTCTCGTGAGGCCAAACCACCGGCCGAGATTCCGTGAAGCGTGCACGATATGGGGGGGGGGGGGGGGGGGGCTTGACTTTGATAGAGTCACAAAGGGACACCGGCCAAGGAAAGCCCAATATTGAAACTACTTAAATGGCTGATGGATGTCCATGGGTGTCATGGGTGTTGATGGCGTGCGCCGGTTGGGTCGGATCTCCCGGCCGTGGCAGTTGAAGCAATGGGGGGCACGCGTGGCTTAAGTGTCTGTCCACCCAGCAGTACGCAGTCCACACTGTACCGGAGTTACGTTGCAGTTCGTCGATCGGTAGTGTTCCGTGTGGTGGAGTGAAGTGTTAGTCCAGTGATGTCATCCAAATATACGGGGGCGCCCCCGCGGTGGCGAGATGTTAACTCCCTCGCCTGGTTTACAGGTGGTTGTGGCTTCGATCCCGACCCTGGCGCCTGCTGTATATTTGGAGTTTGTGGTGTCTCTCTCTCCCCACCCCGTGGTCGCGTGGATTTTTCTCCGGCTCCTCCGGTTTATTCCCTCCACATTTAGAATCAACATCACCGCGCGTTTAAGAGTTTTTGGGGGGCTATAATAGAGGTTTTCGCGTTAGATCACGAAAGTATATAAATGTGTCGTTAAAACACACGACCACCCGACACAGCCAACTAGTAAGGGTTGTCACGTAAACAGAACGTGGCCAATTCGTCACTAGTACAGCACACCGGTGTGTTGGAGAGCCAAGCCAGAACATTTACAATCTGAGTACGACGTTTCGCCAGTAATTACATTTAGTTACTGGCGAAACGTTCTGTAACAACCCTTACTAGTTGGCTGTGTCGGGTGGTGGCGGGTTTTAACGACACATTTATAGATTTACGCGATCTAACCCAAAACCTCTATTATGGACGATATTGGTCGCGAAAGCCTACGTGTTAAACTATTTGGGGGCTGCTATACATTTCCACACGACAATACACTTTGTAGAGCTATCATTTGTGGCCAGATCGCTTCTAAAAAAGAGCTACTGTATATAGCTCAGTGGGCCTTAATTGGCAAAATAAAAATTTGTTTTTTTTAATTTCTGTCAAGACATCTTGGCCGGTGTGGAATATTGGAGGCCCTTTTGCTAGCAGTGGCTTGAGAAAGTAGTGTGATGTCGACAAACGCTTAATCCAACCGATCGGGTTTCGAGTTAATTTTGTCTAAGCAGGTGAGAACTCAAGTAATCAGGGATAAGTCTTATTTGCAAATTCCCCGAACTGAACGTGTGAATCAATCGTGGACACCGCACTGCCTCCACATTTTAATTAGAGAGACAGCGCAGAGGTCCGGAGTAGGCACCAGAATGCAAATATTGTTTTGAACATTTACCAGGAAATGAGCGTCAATGTGTAACCAGTGTCGACGGGGCTTCTTTCCTAAGAACAACCATTCTGTACATAACGATGAACTCAAATTAGCAAACGGGGCTCGAATAAAAAAAAAAACCGGCCTTGAGCCAATGATGGAAGTTCCTCATTTCTGTGGCAGAGCTGAGTCTGGCTGTGCATATGTATGTTCAGCGTGGTCCAGATGTCTTGCGACCCGACAATTAATTGACCCCGAACATATATTTTTTTTTCCCCTTTGCATATTCGTTTCTGTTTTAATAAACTTTACTTTAAAAAATAGAAGTTTTAGAGAATTAAATGGGGTTCACAAGACATCTGGACCACCTTGTATGTCGAACTTCTTTCGCACCGTACGTATCCAACCGTGACAACAAACTGGCTGTAATGTGTTGTCAATTATTCGGCATGTCCGACGTTTTGCCCCACGTGTTGCGAATGTAATTCAGTTCCTGAGTGCTCGATGGAATAATATTTGTTGCTACGTTTGATTATTCCTATATATGTGTTGATTTTCAAAAACATTTAATACATTTATATTTTATGCAACACTGCACCTTTGAACGCGCGTCTCACTTTGACTTTAAGTCGTTATTTAGGACACGACACTCGCTCACAGCTTGCGATATTCTTGTTTTAGATCGTGTTTAGTGAGTCATTGGTTTTGGAGTGACAGTGTTATGATTTGAAAATAACATTTCAGACAACTTTTAAGATTATTATTACTACCTTTTTTAACCGAGGACAGCCTGAGTCTCAATAATTTTTCAGAATGGGATGTAAAGTTACTGATGTGTGTCATTCCATCTGAGTTATTTGCAGGTACATTTTCAGCATTGGGATGATTGGCTAATGCCAGTTACACTGTATGCGGTTATTTTTTAGCGACGATTGGAAAACGGACAACCCCAAAGAAACCCATTCAGAACAGGGGGAGTAAATACACACTCCACTCAGGCACTCACGTCAGGAATCGAACTCAGGGCCATCTTGCTGTGAGGCGTGTTACCAACTGAGCCACCTTTACGCCTAAAGTTGTGGGTAATCATTAATCTAACCAGGAAGTGTTTTTTCGTTACTTGAGCACAATGTCAATTAGGTCTGCAATTAAGATTAAACAATGTATTAATCTTTCTTGATAAGGGAGACATGCTCGTAAAATGCCGTGTGCCCAGGGTTCTAGGATAAAAACGACTCTTTCACCCGGGCTGGGACGGTTGGTGATGATGCAGCAACGCGCTAATGCATAATCATTGACGTCTTCCATAAAGAAGACATCTGCTTTTCTGACTTTCTCAAACAGATCAATCACCTTCACAATTACAACCCTGTATGTATTTAAATGTTGTGACGTCGCCTCATTTCTAGAACTGCCAAATGATGGTGCAGTCAGTTTCGTGTACATGCGTCACACCACTGTCCAACGCGTTTGACGTGCATTCATGCACTACAGACGTGCAGCCCTTTCAATCCTCTGCTGGACGAGGGCCTCCCTCCAGTGCCACGTGGCTCGTAGAGGTTGTGAGAAGTTTAAATCCGAAACTCATCCCTCGTCGATCGGTACCAGGCTCTGAGCCAGTCGTCTGCTCTCGGATCAATCCCCTTGCCGTGTCGGGGTTCTTAGGGATTATTTGACCATTTTTCACCACGCAGGTCCGGTAGAGGTGGTTAAGGTGGGGGAGCCTCGATGTGGAATCATAGAATCACAGTTATAATACTGTGTTTTGCTTCGCTACCTGGACTCAATGACCAGTTCAAAGTCGCCTCACTTTATTGTGGTTTGGGTGCCCAGTTTCAAAGGTTAAATATTATGAAGATATGCCTGGGGAATTCCGCAGTTTACAACAGTATGAACAATTAATCCTTCTTTGCACAAAGTGGTACTAATTTTACCCACCCTGCAGAGATAACAGCCCCAGTCGATCTCTGGCCACGGTTGGAACTTATAACCCTTTGCTCGTGGGTCAAATGCTCTGCTACACTGTCACAGTATCAGACCATTGGCCCGTTGTGTAACACACCTTAAGTGAAATATACCGCGATTTGCAATGGCTTAAAAATAGGAGCACGGGGTTGCACTTAGGTTGTTTGTAAAGCTGACCCCAGGGCTTCATTTGAAGTGGGTCTGTCTGGATCAAGCACCCGCGAAATATTTTCCGCGCCCGGCACACCACACCCAGTATACCACTCGTTATGGTTGTGCGGCTGCTTATCATGTGCCACTGACCTGACATAATCCAGTCTACCAGCGACCCGGAAAATATTCAGTAAGGAAATAACGCCCTGAACCAGGCCTTACATGAAATAATGTACAAACTTATTTTTATTTTAATTGCTTAGGCCTTTAAAACTTTGCCATCTGGTAAGCCTAACTCTGGTTTCACGCGTAATTAAATACTAAATATCTGCAGTGAGAAGTGCATTTATGCTGTAAATAGCTCATGCAGAATAACAATTTGTTAAGAGTTCAAGGTGCGGCCCTGCAATTGCTTTACTGCTGACGGAAGGGCTTCTACTAGAGCAAACTCGAGACGGAATTTCACCTAGTCTTTCATGTTGACCAGACGTGTTGGAAGAAGCGGGTGTGTACCAGTGACGTGCGGTGAAGTCAATGGCTGGGGAGGCACTGGCTAGTGTCAGAGCCAGATTCACACACGTGGTCTCACGGATGGGGGCGTGGCCTCACTGAGGGGGGCGTGTTAGACACGTCCCCCTCAGTGAGGCAGATGTGATAGCTGCCTCCCCTGGTGCTTTTTCATTGCAGTTTCATGACGAGACCAGCGAGCCTAAATATCTTTATACACATACGTGAAATAAGTTACGTGGAGTATGGAAGGCGAGGACATTAAATGAAGGGGTCTACAAACATTACATTGGTGACATACTGAGATAGTAGCAGGCACGCGCTTATTGCCCGCGCTCCATCCAGTTACTGAGGCGTTGCGCAATCAGAGGGGAGGCTTAACTCGTCGCTGCCTCACCTCTCGTCTCTTCCTGTATTTGCAGCGGAGCTCCGCAAATTTGGCGATTTTGACTCTAAAAATTATTGGAATCGTACAGAAATGACATTTATAACACAGATCAGTGGAAAAAATCTTAATATTTAT